GTAGTAGTAGTAGTAGTAGTAGTAGTAGTAGTAGTAGTAGTAGTAGTAGTAGTAGTAGTAGTAGTAGTAGTAGTAGTAGTAGTAGTAGTAGTAGTGGTAGTAGTGGTAGTAGTGGTGGTAGTGGTGGTAGTAGTAGAACAGATCCTAGATGGTGCACCCGACAACAATTTAACTGTCATGTTATTATGCTTTGTACACTGTCGTACAGTCCCTTTTGCCTTTTTGCCACCGGCAAGTCAGACACGGGACGGCAGATCTGATGCTAATGCTGGTTGACATGTTGACAGGCAGATGTTAGACGTTACATATAAACTATTACATTTAGTACATCTAGTACTCCGTGCTCCGTATATCTACCTGCATTCCATACCTAAACGTATGTATATAGTTGGTAGGTAGGAGGTCCAAGCCAGGCTCCGGCAATGCATGCATGGTTGGATCACCAAGTCTACAGTGACCTGTCCTGAAAACCATATCATATCCATACACGACTACAGTGTAGACTGCTCTACAATACTACTCCTACTAGTACTGGCTAGACGGATAGACGAGATCACATCATCATACCATCAATCTCAGTTCCCACTCCATAAACCATGTTTTGATACGTAATGACTGTCTAGACTGATATTGCTCTGTCCAGACCAGAGACCACAAATTTCACTGTCACTGTACTTAAGCCGTCAAGATGCCGCGGCGCTGCCATTTGTACCATTGGTCCCATTGGTGCCGTTAGTACCGCTGGCTGCTTGCTTGGGCAATTTGGCCCGCACCCCCGGCAGGATATAGCGGCCGTAGTCGATGGCATCGTTGAGGTTATCATAGCCACGGATGGAAATGAGCTCGGCCCCCAGATGGACATAGTCCAAGATGGAGTCGATCACGGTCTGGTAGGAGCCCACCAGTGCAGTGGACGCGCCACGGGCATTCGTGGCGGTGACTGTGGGATACCACAGAGCGCGATCCTGCACCTCGCCGCGCTTCGCAATCTCCAGCAGTCGCTGCGAGCCCACGTTCTGGGGAGCGGGAGCCTCACCGGCCTTGCCGCCCGCGGTCGCCGCCGACCACGCGCCCACCTTCTTGGCCGAGAGGGACTCGAGGGCCTCGAGGGTTCGGTGAGCCTTGGCCCATGCCAGCTCCTCCGTCTCCGCCACAATGGGCCGGAAGGTAACCCAGATGCGCGGCCGGTCGTCCGGTGCCCGGCCAGCCTTCTCCGCGGCGGCGTAGATCTTGTCGATCTGTTCCTTGGTCTCCTTGAGCGGCTCGCCCCAGAGGCCGAAGATGTCGCCCAGCGCGCCGCCCACCCGGTATGCGTCGTCGGACGAACCTCCCACCGAGACGGGAATGGATTTTCCGTTGACCGGGCGCACCAGGTTCCGGAATTGCTTGAACTGGTAGTACTCGCCGTCCCAGTCGAACGGTTCGGGGGATGCCCACGCCCGCTTGAGAATGCGGATGTACTCCTCCAGCCGGCGATAGCGCTGCTCCTTGGTCAGGAAGTCGCCCTCGCGTGCCTGCTCCACATCGACGCCGCCTGCGATGAAGTGCACCACCGCTCGTCCGCGGCTGAGCTGGTCGAGCGTCGAAAGCGCCTTGGCCGCCACCGTCGGGTACAGCGTGTTGGGCCGCACCGCGATGATGATCTTAAGATTCTTCGTCACCGACGCAATCGTCGCCCCTACCGTCCACGGGTCGAAGTACGATGAGTCGTACGGCACCAGCGTGTAGTTAAATTCATAGTCATCCAGATTGCGGGCGTACCGCTCCAGGTAGTCCCGATCGGCCGGAGCATTTTGGATGGGATTGAGCTCCGTAGATGGATTGAGGAAGGTTGCGCTGATGAATTCGACAGGCATGGTAAGGGTAAGGCGCACTTGGGCGTTGATTTGACTTGACTGTACAGATGCCCTCGAGGATGGAGGGCGGATCGCGGATTGTGGGGGATCATCATCTGGCTGCTTTATATGTTAGCCATTGACATGGCGACATATGCTCGAGAGGTGACGCCTTACGATATCGGCTGGTTTCGGCCGAACTCACTGGTCTTCCTGTTGGTATTACATGTAACTCTCGGAAGAATCAGACAACTGCTTGCTAAGCAAGTCATTGCACCACCAGGAGAGAGATCGTGTCTGGGGTTAGTTCTAGATCAATCACCCTATCTCAAGCGTTCCAGGGGAAGTGGGCAAGACCCAGTGACTGGACGTGGTGCCCTGGACGTTAATTGATTAGCTGACTTGTTGCTCAGTCTCAAACATGCTTCTTCAGCCCACTTCATAATCTTTGCATAAATGATGGTTTCGATCATCTGCCAAGTTACCTACACCTGAGGTAGGGCAATGCAGCCGGATGATGGCGTATGAAGCCCCCCAATGGACTCATGACATTTGACCTCACTACCCTCCCGTCTTCCGATCTCGCTATGTGTACGGAGTATCTGCTCTTTCTAGGGACCAAGAATGCCCTCCGAGTATCTTTACCATACGATGCGGACGGTAGAGGCGTGTCTCTCTGCTGTAGTGGCCTGCGTAGATATTGGTGGGTGTTGTTGCAGAAGTCTACATCAATGTTCACTGCAGCGAATTGCGCTGTGTACATCCACCGTCTTGTCTTGTCTTGTCTGGACTCGACCCGAGTCTGTCTTCTGTACAAGGAGATATGGCGAGCGGCTCATGGAACCTATTTTCATCCCGTTTCCACCATAATGACTCTAAAGACTGATCAACATATACATCGGCAGGGGAGAAGGTCCGGTCGTATGGCAGCATGGCAGTTGGCGACATTGGTATTGAGAGGGACGCTCCCTACATTCGGTGACGGGATCTGACTCTGTACTGAGTACTCTACGCCTGGTAGCTGGCTGAGACGCTGATGGGAAGCCGAAGCCTAAGCCTAAGCCTGCGCTGCGGGGTGAGAGACCCAAGTTCAGCTTACAGCACGGAGTACGGAGTACGGGGGACCTAGTGGTGCCTAGGTGTCGGTCGTAGGTAACACGCGTTGCACTTTACGCGTCAGGCAGGACCTGAGCACGTGAGTCAAATACGGGAAGGCCCGGTCACGTGACGAGCATCTTAATATCTCAAGCCTGAGCCTCGAGCATCAGGATTAATATTGTCTGCCCAGCATTTCACAGGCGGGCCATCTATCCTCGTCCTGCACTGCATGGCAAGCCGTCTTCACCGGCTGTTCTCCAATCTAGCTCGCACCGAGCTGTCACCTACTCCAAAAAGAATGACTATGAATTCTCCAGACCTGCCTGAAATTTTTCGCCCTCCCATAAACCGTTCTATGCAAACTCTTGACAGATCCTTCTTTCGCAAAGTGGTCCCTCTAGCTGCCGCTACCGTATCTGACCCGAAGCAACTCACCAATGTACGGAAAGAACTAGACAAGTCTGGGGACATGTTGAGGTTGAGCCCCATCCGACCTTTGCGCGACGACGAATCAACCCCCGGTGCGAAATGCTTCATACTCAGGGCGGGGATCAACGCAAACGGTAATTTCGACGCTGCATTCTGGAGGACAATGCTGACACATGATCAGAACCGGCCACCTGGTCGCCAACCGTCTCGAGATTGGTGGAAGTCAACCTTGCGAGGATACGACCGTACGATCTAACCCTGACATATGATGATTGGACCATGCGTAAGTGAGTCTCTGGACGAATGACGAATGTCGGGGTGAAATCCAGTTACCGACATGATGTGCTAGACAACATACTTGAGGCGATTCTTCCCGAGATGGAAGACGACGAGAAGGAAACCCCTGCCGGTTTTGCACAGGTTGGGCACGTTGGTGAGTCTGAGCAACACTCTGGCAACCATGTTTATCTTTTCTGACGCATCTCCATATCAGCCCATGTCAACTTGCGCACGCCGTACCTGCCTTATAAACACCTCATTGGGCAAGTTCTGCTGGACAAGAATCCTACCGTCACGACGGTCATCAATAAAACCTTTGATGTCGGCACCGAGTCGGTTTTTCGAACGTTTCCCTACGAAGTGCTTGCCGGCCCTGACGATCTTGACGTCCTGGTTCATGAATCGGGGTGCGAATTCAAGTTCAACTTTGGCAAAGTCTACTGGAACTCTCGTCTCGGGACCGAACATGCCCGGGTGTTTGAGACGTTTGAGGAAGGCGAGGCGGTCTGCGACGTCATGGCCGGAGTAGGACCTTTTGCCGTCCCTGCTGGCAAACGGAAGGTATTTGTGAGGGCCAACGACTTGAATCCTGATTCCCATGCGAGCCTTCAGGACGCCATCAAACGTAACAAAGTCGCCGATTTTGTCACCGCGTCTTGCGAAGACGGCAGAGACTTCATCCGCCGGGCGACCATTGACCTGGCAAACACTTCACGAACAGTCAGATTAGCGCCCAAGACCAAGATTTCGCGCAATGCAACCGACGAAGACAAGAAGGCGGCTCAAGAAGCCGCTGGAAAGTCGGCGAGAATGTTGCGAGAGCCCACTGCCTTTTCTCATTATGTCATGAACCTGCCTGCGAGCGCCATCGAATTCCTTGACGCCTTCAAAGGCACCTACCACGGCCGGGAAGCCGAATTCGCACCACATACCTCGACCAAACTTCCTCTAATACATTTGTATCTTTTCCAAGCCAAGCTTCTCACCGAGGATGCTGAGCTTCAGGAGATCTGCGAGCGCATCTCTAGCCACATCGGGGCTGAAGTCAAGCTGGACGACCCAGAGTTAGATATCGACATTCGATACGTTCGACTCGTCGCTCCGAAAAAGAAGATGTTCTGTGCGACTTTTCGACTGCCAGCAAATGTTGCATTTGCCGGGCCCTGACTTTAACTAAGATCAAGCAAACTGTCTTGGAAGATCAAGCAGAACTGTCGGAAAGATCAAGCAGAACTGTCTTGGAAGATCAAGCAGCACTGTCTTGGGAGATCAAGCAGCACTGTCATGTTCGACGTACAAGCGATATTGACAGGCAGATATTGTCCGGCGCTGTCGCAACATGATGCAATCTCCATGGACTGGGCGTGGTCGGCCGCGACGGCGGGCGGCAAGGCCGGCGAGGCTCCCTTCTGTGAGGGTTCAGGCAACATGCCTGGATATCGGTCTGAGGGCTCAGGCAACATGCTTGGAACTCACGTTCCGCACCAGCCGTGATTCAGAGGGAGAAATCAACCGTACTCAACAGTAGACGGCTTTCCTCCTATTCCAGTGGTCTGACTGGGACAGCGTCTGTGGTTGGGTCGAGGCTCGGCTTGGCTTTTGACGATCCAACAGGTTGAGAGGTTGAATTCACGGAGAGGGTGACCGTGAACATCTGGGGGGCGTCGGCTCGTCCCTGGGTCATGTTGAATCGACATTCAAGGTCATTTACTGGCCGATCCGGGCGAAGACATTGTCAGGTGGGGAGTCTGGCTGGGGAGGAAAGATTCAAATCCGTGCAAAGAAAGAACGAATCCAGCAGCCTATTTAATGAGCCTGCTTGATGCTTACCTGTGAGATGAATTCCTGACGAGCATCGAGGATTGGATCTACGGCTTCCCAAAACGGCCCATCACCTCGACCAGTCTACAGTTCGCCACTTTCTCTTTCATCATCAAACAATAGTCTGGAACGACCCGCTATTTTTTCTCACTGACCATCAGGTTCTGGAGGCTTCCCAGCTCTGGAGGCTTCGCAGCTCTGTCTACATATGACGCCGTGAGCACACCCCTCGAGCTACAGTCATCTTTACCACTTTGAAATCATCCGACGGCTATCTCATACATACCTAGGTACATATTCCAATGAATCGACGAAGACCCAGTCATTCTGTTGATGTCATTCATCCTCACGCACTTGATGCGGTTTGCACTTCCAGTTTCTGTATTTGTATCCTTCCGATCTGTGTGTCGTCTGTCGTCTGTCGTCTGTCGTCTGTCGCAGGTGATCACCAATTAATACAGCCAAGGTTCATTCGCTCTAGTACTGCCGAGGCGTGATTTTCCTGGCACGTCGAGACCTGACCGGCCTGGCCTTTGGTACCTCACATCAACGCACAATTACAGCACCAGGACGACAATGTGGCATGACCCTGACCCTGACCCTGACGATAGTTTGGATCCCAACTGTCCAGCGACCAGCGATCCGATCGTTGAGGGTTCTTACTGCCTTGATCATGTTCCTGTGGCTGTGGAGCCTCCTTCCTTCCTTCCTGAGGCTGTGCCGTGAGGATTCGTCGCTCCCGGACCATCACTTTGTTTTCGTTTTCAGTTTCGTTTTCGTTTTCGTTTTCGTTTTCGGTTGGTTGAGGAATGGACTGGTGGTTGGTGTTAAGTTGAGGAATAGTTTGGGCGTTATGGCTAGGTTGAGGAATTGGTTGTGCGTGTGGGCTGGGATTTGTGCTGTTCGATACGCAGGTATGTGTGTTGGCGGCGTGATTTCCATTTCCATTCACACTGTCAGTGTGGTTCTGGTTCTGGTTCTGGTCCTGGTTCTGTTCCTGGTTCTGTTCCTGGTTCTGTTCCTGGTTCTGTTC